AGGGCAGGAAATACATGGGAAATCTCTGTACCTTCCCCTCAGTTTTGCTGTGAACCTAAATAAAATAAAGTCTTAATAATTTTTAAAAATTTTAAGTGTAATTACCTCTAGAATGAATTCACAGGTCTGAATAATGCTTTGAGCAATAATTACTTTCCACCTGTGTTTTTCCTCTGAACTTCCTTCCCTTAAAAAGAGTTTTGTATGTAGCAAGAAAGCAGAAGTACCTCTTACTAAACTTAACTGGCTTTTGTTTTCTGAAAAAGCCTCAATCCATTGAGATACAGAACAATTAAGAGAAGAGGCTGAATGTTTGGGAGAAGCAGAAAGAGAAGTCTGATAGCCCCCAAATAGACATGCATCAGCAGAGGGAAGCAGTGGCACCTGAAAGGAAGGGCGACATCTGTTCCTACAGGGAGACTGCTTTAGAGGCCCTTGGGTTCCCAACGCTGCCAAAGATCTCTGTAACCTGGCCTGACGGGGAAGTGGCAGAGAGCTACAGGAGCCTGCAGAAACCACGGCAGCCTCAGCAGCAGCAGTCAAGGGGACCTACTGGGCCATGGGGACTGCGATTCATGCGCTCTGCAGAAGATCACGTTGGCCTGGAAAGACCAGACAGAAGAAGTGACACTCAGTTGCAGAAATATTTGCTTAAAACCCATAAGCATAAAAATCAGAGGTGCTAAGCTGCTCAGTTACCCAAAAAAAAGATGGAGAGAGAGAAAGTTCAGCTGCTTTGGGTCTCTACCTATATACTTGCACCAATCTCCTTTTGAAAGAATTTAGGAAAAGGATAAAATGTAAATATTTGCAGTTATTTACAAGTGATATGAAGAGGAGGCAATAAAACATGAATTTTGGTGCTCAGACTCCCTGCTTAGACATTCTCTGTCTCCAGAGCCAAAACAGGAGGCCTCAGTCACAGAGGTGCCCTCTAGGCAAGCTAAAACATTTTCTGATTTGGGTTTTAATAGCTACTGAGTTTAAATAATTCTCTGTTATCTCCCATCACATTGGCCTCATCAGAATTATAGTAAAGAGAACATGCAATTTTCCAAATTATAAGGCATCTATGGTTCATCTCCAGGACTTCAAAGAAAGCACAGCCACATGGGTGCCATGATTATAGTGGCAGTGAATCAAGGACAGTGAGCTAGGACAATTTACCCAACAGTTCTCGAAGGTCCTTTTATCTGAGGTGGGGCAGGGGGTGGGGCAGGAGGGAAGCACTCAGCATGATGCAGTAGAATTCACAGACTCAGAGATTTGGAATTGGAAGAGATCTTAGAAGCAATCTAGAAGAAAAAAAAAACTCATCTTCAGAAGAGAAGAACCTACTAACCATGATGGCATTGTCTTAAACTGAGTTTGAGACAAAATTTGATATTAGTACCTAAAAATATATAAACTATACGGTTTTAAGCACTAGAATATATTATATAGAATTTATTTTCACACAGTCCTTTTCAGCTGTATCTCTGAGTGCAACTTAGAAAACTAAAAGGATGTCTTTTGTTCAATAGTAGTTTTCCTCCTAACAGTTTCTCTTGTACTTACTATCATTAAGAATCATTTTATTTCATAAAGCCATTTGCAGCAACATAGATGGACCTAGAGATTATCATACTAAGTGAAGTAAATCAAACAGAGAAAGACAAATATCATATGTCACTTATATGTGGAATCTAAAAATATGATACAAATGAACCTATTTACAAAACAGAAACAGACTCAGACAGAGAAAACAAACTTACGGTAACTAAAGGGGAAAGAGAGGGGAAGGGATAAATTAGGGATTTGGGATTAGTAGATAAAAACTATATATAAAATAGACAACAAAATCCTACTATATAGCACAGGAAACTACATTCAGTATCTTGCAATAAACTATAATGGAAAAGAACCTGAAAAAGAATATATATATATGTATAAGTGAATCACTTTGCTGTGCACCAGAAACTAACACAACATTGTAAATCAACTACTTCAATTTTTTAAAAATTCATTTTACTTCAAATGCCGCTAACTTTTTTTGGGGGGGGTGGTAACCACTAGTTTCTTTTTTTAATTAAGATATAATTGACATAGGTTTGTTTCAGGTATACAACTTAATGATTTGATATTTGTATATATTGCAAAGTGATCACCACGATAACTCTAGTTAACATCCATTACCACACAGTTAACAATTTTTTTCTTGTGAAAAGAACTTTTAAGATCTACTCCCTTAGCCCCTTTCAAATATGTAATACAGTATTATTCACTATATCATGCTGTACCTAACATTCCCATGACTTGTTTATTTTATAACTGGATGTTTGTACCTTTTGACACCTTCGCCCATTTCAACCACTCCTCACCCCATTGCCTCTGGCAACAAACCACCAATCTAGTCTTTATAAGTTTGGTGTGTTTTGGGGGGGAGGGGGTTGTGGGGGTTTTCTTTTGCGGAGATAGATTCCATATATAACAGATCTTTCGGTATCTTTCTCTGTCACTAAGCATAATGCCATTAAGGTCTGTCCATATTGTCACAGATGGTCAGATTTCCAGATTTCCTTCTTTTTATGGCTGAGTAATATTACATTGCATATATATATATATAGGTGCTAAGGGAGTAGATCTTAAAAGTTCTTTTAACAAGAAAAAAATTGTAACTGTGTGGTAATAGATGTTAACTAGACTTATTGTGGTGATCACTTTGCAATATATACAAATATCAAATCATTAAGTTGTACACCTGAAACAAACATATGTCAATTATATCTTAATTTTTAAAAAAACTAGTGGTTACCCTGCTCCCTAGGGAAAAAAAAAAGTTAGTGGCATATATATATCTCACAACTTTATCATTTGTCCATCAATGGACTCAGGTTTCTTCCATGTCTTGGCTATCATAAACAGTGCTGCAATGAACACGGAGGTGCAGATATCTCTTCAGGGCAGTTTTTT